CTCATGACTCAAGTTACGCGGGTTCAAACCCGGCGGAGGTCGTGGAATTTTTAAGGGCGGAAAAATTCAGGGAACAAGTCCTCCAGGAGGGACTTTAAGCCGTGGGTCCCGTATCGTAGATTTACAGCATGTAAAAGATCCTCATGTCTCTAGGAGACCTCTGAGCAAAATTAGGCAAAAAGTTTCCCACCCAAGTAGTTTCCAATGCCTCCGGTAGATGGGGAAGTTATCGGATACCAATGCCAGTAGAGGGCCGACCTCGCTGGCAGAAAGGGGAGAGTAATCGGGTACCACTGCCAGTAGAGGGCCGACCTCACTGGCAGAAAGGGGAGATAACGGGCACCAATATCGGTAGGGTATGGCGACGGTAGAAATTAAAGGGGGACGTACAATAGACTGTTAGTCGCGGTGCATGGGGAAACCCACCCCCTCGATTATGAATAACTGAACTGAACCCTTTCAGTCAACATACCAATGTAGTGAGTATTAATTCTGTGTTTGTACGTTGTTTGCACAAAGAACACGTGCTCAACATATAATGGGAAGTTGATGTCTGCCCATCTGCATGTAGCATATCCAGAATTGCTTGAAGGAATTCAGTTACTCATGCTGTGAATTAAATGTTTCCAAGTTAATTCACTTTTGGTGCTCAATTGCCGCTTGTAATCCCGTCTTTTAAGGACCTCTCTGAATAAGCATTTTTCGTGAAAGTGGCAGAGCTGACAAGAGAGGGACTGTTGTTGGGATGTTCCTTTATTAGCAGGCTTAGCAGTACCTGAAAGTGGTGATTGCAGCATTCGTGTCATCGCACTACGTTACAGAATCACCTGCTGCATCATAATAATTTTATTGTATATAGAGAAACACAAGTTCTTCCCCTTCTTAAAAGTGTTTTTTTTTATTTTGAGAATACCAGTTGATACTAGGATTTTTCTATCCGTTTTTGTATATGGCATGCTTAAATATTCATTGTAGTACAAATTTCATCTGTTTGATATAATGAGCGTGAATGAAACATAAATCCCAGATATTACTTTCAGTCCCCCTCGTTGGTGGCTCCACCTAATCGTGGTGAGGGGGTTTGAGTATGCCAAGGACCCTGAGAGCTATACCAGCGGTAGCGTAGCTACTGGCAGGGCCTCCCTTGCTGGACAGGTCAAAGGGTAGGCATCAGACGAAGAGAGACACCAAAAACTGATGCCGGAAGCAGCGTCATCAGCAGCGACTTGAAGCACAGAGTAAATAATGCTCGAGATGGTTCAAGTTCGTATAGCAACAGGCGTGACCAGAGTGGTTTGAACGCCTATTGTACTGCGATGTGGAAAGCAAATGGAAAAACTACCACATTATCACTTTTCCTGGATAGTCTCTTTCCAAAACCAGAGATACCATGTATGCGAGATGTTTCATTTGAAGGAGAAAGCTCTAGATCGCATCAAGTGGAGGAACTGTTTTGGAAGAGACTGTGGACCTGTCGTCTTGACAGATTACTGATGAATGAATGAATGAATGAATTACTTTCAGTAGCACTAAAATGTAATTAATTATGCATTACTGTGGGATTTCTTCTATGTGGACCCCTAATGTAGTTACTGTAGTTCTTAACTTTCCTCATAGATCATGAAAAGGCAGCAGTGAATGACTTGTCCCTGCTGCCTGTTGTTAATGGCAGTAAATCTGCTATTTCATCTTGCATAGTGCTTCTTGAAAGCAAAAACAAATGGAGTATGAAACACTGTCACTTTCATTTTTATTTTTCATTAAAAAATAACTAAATGTTAAATTTATTTCTCTTTTCCTTTATGAATCATTTTATGCATACATTAAGGATGTGAACTATGGATCTGATGGTGCAGGGGTAAGGCAGCTAATCCTCCTCAAGTGCAAAAGACAAGCTACATCTAACACTGATATTTTTTTCCTTCCCTCAACACTATCAAGGTCAAAACTTTTTGAACTCTGAACTCTAAGGTCAATATTGCTATCATGCTTCATGACCTTTGGCATCTGCATAGTGATAAAACACTTGATAACATGATACATGTTGGGTTCTCCACAGTGCCAGTGGTCCACAACTTCTGTATTACGTAGGCCGTACCGAAAGTCATAAGCAACTTTTCTTTGCATGCAACCTGGGAACAGCAGACGAAAGAGAGTACGGTGGTAGGTGGAACCAGCTGTTGTGTTAACCTTGAGTGTCTTGTGATGTCAATAGCTTGCATCACGTGACCAGTATCACTCCTAACAAAATGGCCGACAACAATATGTCGTTTCGCCAGCGTGCTGTCATCGAATTTCATGTGAAAGAGGAAATACCTGCTGCAGAAATTCACCAGAGACTTCAGTGTGCTTATGGAAGTGTGTGCATGGGTGCGAGCAGTGTTCAGAGATGGGTGAAACATTTTAAAGATGGGAACACCAGCATTGAAGATGAGCCTCGGAGCGGTTGTCTTCGAACAGCCTCAACTGAACGCAACAAGGAAAGAGTGGATGAGATCATTCAAGATGACAGGCGTGTGACTGTGGACACAGTAGCCCGCAAACTTGGAATAGGGCACAGCGCAGTACAGGAGATGATTGAAAACTTGGGCTATAGGAAAGTTTGTGCTCGTTGGGTTCCGCGGTTATTTACCGAAGACCACGAAGGTCAGCGAAAAGCCAACACCTTAAAACTGCTGCAGAGATGTCAGCATGAAGGCGATGATTTTTTGCTCTGTATTGTGACAGGTGACGAAAGTTGGTTTCACCATTTCGAGCCTGAAACGAAACAGCAGAGTATGGAATGGCACCATTTCCATTCTCCATTAAAAGAGAAGGCAAAGACAGTGCCACCAGCTGCGAAGGTGATGGGCACAGGCTTCTGAAATGCAGAGGGATTTATTCTGGCCGAATTCCTGGAACCTGGACAAACCATCAGTGCTGCTCGTTATGTCCAGATGCTGCACAAGCTCCGTCGTGCATTGCGCGATAAACATCCGAGACGAAACATCATCATCCTGCATGACAACGCTCGCCCCCACGCCCCTCGCCTCACATTGGAAGCAATTGCAAAGATGGGGTGGGAAGTTCTTCCACACCCCTCCTATAGCCCTGATCTGGCACCCTCCGACTACCATCTTTTCGGATTTGTGAAGGATCAGCTCGTGGACGTTTTGAGACAAGGGAGGTAATTTAGAAAGCAGTGCGTCAGTGTCTTTGGATGGCTGGAACGGAATTTTACAGAAGGAATATTCAAGCTCCCAGAACGCTGGGAGAAATGTGTACAAAGAAGTGGCGATTATGTGGAAAAATAAAGAAAGGTCTGTAGATTGAGGTTGTGTATTTGGTTTGTCAATAATAAATCATGTTCCTTTACAAAAAATTGTTGCTCATGACTTTCAGTACGACCCTCGTAGATAATTAGAGTTTTGTAAGTGGCCTGGTGTTCTCACTGGGAAATGGTTCTCAGTTATCTTGAGTTTTTTCAGACTGAGACAATACCTCGAATAGAAGTCTTTCCTTTATTTGTTTTCAGTATAACTAACCCCAAGGAGCATCCTGAACCCAATCAAGATACATTTTAATATACAGTAAACCCTTGTTATATTGGACAAAACCTGGCTATGTACAGTTGTGAAATTTTAGAGCTGGTGAGGAGCTAAGAAAGTTTTGTAGTTATAAAACTATTTCAGACAATATAGATCCCCAATATAAATACCTTAATATAATCATATTTTGTGTTTCTAAGTTTGTTCCATGCATTTACTATGTATCCTATGGTGTACGTCTATGAATGCCCCTTCACTTGCTAATAATGGACATCGGCGATGCGCCCCCTATTACTACGTTATAACCAGGTCTTACTGTATTTTCATTCATGCCAGTCTCATCCCCCTTAATTTTATGACTCTAATACTCCGAGATTTCAGTCCGCAAGCAAACCATACCGACCTAGCGACTGCCGCTTGTCGACGAAGTTTAGTGCCAACTTTAGCGGACGGAGGGTGTCGCGTGGTAAGCACAACGAATCCTCACGGCCGTTAATTTCTGTTTTCTAGACCGGAGTCGCTATTTCCTTGAAAGAGCCCCTCAGTTATCATCAGGAGGCTGAGTGGACCCCGTTCCAGACCCACTACTTCTCAGAAAAAAATCTGGTAACGCCGGGAATCGAACACGGATCTTTGGATCTGTAGCCAGGAACGCTGACCACTAGACCAATAATTCAACTCTATTCAATTCAATTCTTTATTATTTATGTGCCGAGTGAACAGCTGCAAGGTCAATTACAGACAGAGCACAGGGTAGATGCAAGTGATTACATTATGGACAAACACTACATAAAGTCAAAGACAAATTACAGGCAAGCACTGGAGGAAAACACAGTAATGCAGACAAGTAAAGAAACAAATAATAATAATAATAATAATAATAATAATAATAATAATAATAATAATAATTTCAATTAACATAAATCAATAATAGAGACAAGTGAACAAACAAATTATATAACAGAAATAATAATGATTTTATTAACATAAATCTAAGTGTTATTGAGAACTGAGAAATGAAACGTATAAATATTTAATTGAGAAATTAAAAGTATAGATAGTATATAATAATAATAATAATAATAATAATAATAAATAATCTGTGAAATTATAAAATTCCTGATAATGTAATTTTGTCAAAAGACTCCAGTCTCTGTTATTTTCTTATTATGTTATATAAACAAATCTAATTCTTCAGTATTGTGTCTGTTGTTGCAGGAGTCAAGATGAAGACATAGGGGCACCATGGGGCATGGTGTAGCCTATCCCTGACAGCAGCTCTGATAGTACAAGCAGCCATGATGGAGCCACATGCACAAACCATACATCAGCAGGACAATGATATGTACTATCCACCAGCACTGGCATACTTCTTTCATGCATTCCCACATCTCAATATTACCTGTCATCTTGTCAATGCGACCTTTGACCCTGACAGTAATATTTACCTTGAGGTAAGGTCTCACTAATGTAACTGGGCCTGATACAGTTGCATGTTGATAAAAATCTGACCTTTTCCTCTCAGCATACAAAAGTTCACTGTATTAATGCCTTTTTATGTAGATTAAAATATGGGTATCATTTATTGTCACATGTATGAGGGACTATGCCGGTCACGGTAGCCAAGCGGTCTAAGGCATGCGCTGTCTTCGCTTGCTCGGAAGCCGGGATCGTGGGTTCGAATCCCACTCAGGGCATGGATGTTTGTGTGCGTTTTTCTGTGTTTGTCTACAGGTAGAGGCCTTGCGATGAGCTGATCACCCGCCCAAGGAGTCCTACCATATGTGTAAGATCTTGAAAAACCGAAGTGAACGGAGAAGTTCATGGAGGTAGGCCTAGGCCCACTGGGGCTGTAGTGCCTAGGAAAAAAAATGAGGGACTATAGGCAGGGTTTGGATTGGTGAATGGATTTCCAACAGTTCCTCTATTGCTGTGTATGGATTCATTGCCATGAGAACATGTTTGTTTGTGAAGGCGTTACTCAGTAACAGCTGCATATATTTGCATGTTATGAAACTGTTGCCTAGCAGTGGACGCTGTTTAATTGTTTTGTGATTATTACGTAGCATTGTCTCTCTACATGCTACAGTATATTGAAATAAGGACAAATGACAAGTTTTAAAACGTTTCATTTGTGTTAATTTCAGACACATTGGTGCAAGTTTCAGTTGTGGTAGTGTATTTTGTCACTGAGTGTCCCTACCACTGATAAGAATTTGCCCTCTCTTTCCGGTAGTCAGCTGTTGCATCAGCAGTATTAGTACTTTCCCTCACTGGCTACAAATTAAAGTAGCCAATTACATGCTGTTAAAACCCAGACATGTTTCAATCTTACAAGACCCTCCTCAGGGGCTGTACCACATTAAAGGCTATAGGATATCTGAGTCATAAATTTCTTACAGAAAGTTAAAATTAATATAATGTTAAAATTCAGTGGTGTATGCAGTAGTTAGTGTAATTTCATTGACTATGTTGTGTCTGCTATGTTATGTTCCATGTCTCATACTCATTTCTTGGTGATAATGTGGAGCTCTGCAGTTTTGTCATGATTCATGGTAGGTGAAGTACTGAACTTCGCATAGTGGGGGGTGGAGTCCAACTGGGTCCATTTGGCATGTCGGCCACTTATTGGCCTATTGTACCTGCCCTGGGTGATTATGATGATGGAGAATTTGGTGGAATGAAGATTGGCAGGGGAAACCAAAGTACTCGGAGAAAACCTGCCCCAGCACCAATTTGTCCACCACAAATCCCACTTTACCGGACCCGGGCTCGAACCTGGGCCACCGTAGTGGGAAGCCAGCGACTAACCGCTTGAGCTATGGCACGGCCTATTATTATTAGAGGGGGTGGGTTTCCCCATGCACTTAGACCAGTTATTGGTCCATTGTGTGGCCCCCTTTAATTTCTACTGTCGCCATACCCTACCGGTATTGGTGCATGCTATCAGCCCCGTTCAGCCAACGAGGTCGGCCCTCGGTACCTGATATTTCCCCCATCTACCAGAGGCATTGGAAACTACTTGGGCGGGAAACTTGTTGCCTAATTTTGCTTAGAGGTCTCCTAGAGACATGAGGATCTTTTACGTGCCATAAATCTACGACACAGGACCCACGGCTTAAAGTCCCTCCCGGAGGACTTGTTCCCTGAATTTTTCCACCCTTAAAAATTCCACGACCTCCGCCATGTTTGAACCTGCGTACCTTGCGTCGCGAGGTGGGAACGTTACCCCTAGACTACGGAGGCCGCTTATGGCGCGGCCTAAGTACTGAACTTACCAGCTTCAAGCACACAAGCAGAGTCTCTAACCTCTAATCTTATGAGAGGTGACATTGTAAAGAAAAACTGGCGAAGTCCCTGATAAACTATATCTGCAACCTTCCTTTCCAGTTTTGTTTAAACAAGAGTTCTAGAACCTTCGTGAAATGAAGTTGGGTTGATTGCAGACTTCTCTCATCCTGTTAAATCAGATAATGGCCAAATCTCACCCACCCACTCTCTTACTCACTGTCTCACTTGCTCACTCTGGTAGAAGCAGGATGTCATGTGACATTCACACACACAGAAGACACCAATCACAGACTACTCTGCCTTATACAGGATGCTCTTTATATGTTATAAGTATATTATATCTTATTTTTCATGTTAAGTGTCTTAGTCACATTTTTCTTATAACGATTTATCTTCACAGCTGTTTTAGACAACCATATGCAGTTTAATATATAAATCAGTATTTGGTATTTAATGTGGGTCACCCAATTTTATTTTCCATCCCAACCTTTTTATTCACTTTTATTAATAATTTAAAATAGGAGTAATAAGGTTATGGAAATAAAGGTAGAGTTAACAAAAACTAGAACATGGAAGGAGAAGTATTTATGAAGAGAGTGAAAGGGAGAGCGTGGAGTTATGAGACAGCAAAGGAAGGAAGCAGGGACATGTATGATAATAGCATTCAGAGTAGTTAGTCCTCCAGGTGAAGGCTCAACATATGTGTGAATTGTGGTCATAATTGTGTCATGGCCAGGCAGTGGGGAGCCAGCAGCTGTACATTATCTAACCACTTGAGGCAGGTTCTGTCAGGGTGTGAACTATTCATCACCCAGCAAGATCTGATTCTTATGACATAGAGAACAAGGAAGAGAAAGATTTTCCAAAGTCCAACAGAACACTCATATGCTGTATATACTTATATTAAAAAAAAAGAAGTAGATTCAATATAATAAGATGTTAATAATTTAGGAAGAGCTTACCAAATGTAATGTGTAGTGGATGAGCACTCCTGTGTATTCAGGAAGACTGGCTGTCCTCATTGAATTTTCTTAGTTCCTCTCGCTTACAGCGGAGAATAAGGTGAGAATCCAAAATGAGCCAAAGTGCCCTCACTCCACATCATTCTCGTATTATCATTCGCAATTTTGTCATTTCTCGTTCAGCGCCATATTACCAGAGAATGGGATCAAAACAAGAACTGATTTCTTGCATAGATGCTGTAGGGGCTTAATAGAGTCCAAGAAAATTAGGAGGGATAGAAAGTGAATGGGATACACTTGTTTTTTATATTGCTAGTGGGGTGGGACTAAGTCCCTTGTACTGCAGCCACTTCTGGCCTATTGTACCAGCCCCAGATGATAGGTGAGGGTGATTGTGGAGCAATTGGTGGAATGAAGATTGGCAGGGGAAACCGAAGTACTTGGAGAAAACCTGCCCCAGTGCCACTTTGTCCACCACAAATCCCACTTGACCAGACCCGGGATCAAACCTGGGCTGCCACGGTGGGAAGCCTGCGACTAACTGCTTGAGCTATGGCGTGGCCCTTGGGATACACTTGCTTCTGGTCTATGCTGATACTACAGGCTATTAGAGAGGTTTAGATATTTGGAAATGGTGATGACAAATTGAAACTACAATCAGAAAGAATTAAAAGCATATTAAAGTTGGGGAAGATGTACCACTATTTAGTTCAGACTAGTGTGTCTTCCTGCCTTCTGTCAAAAAATTAAAATATACAGAATCATAATTTTACATACTGTTTTGTATGAGTGTGAAATTTCATTCATAAGAAATGATGTGCTTGAACTATCAGAATATAACCAGCATGAACTTCATTAACTTGAGTATTTCATAAATTTTAATCATTCACGTATCACAAACATGAAATATCTGACATTACAAGTTGATAATGGGTTATCAGTGTCAAAGTAGTGTTAGATATATCACAAACTGAAAGCAGTTGGGTGAAAACTTTATTACTACTTGTACCTGTCCTAAAACACATTTCATTGACTCTGTGTACAGTCGCTGGGAATCCTAGGGTCGCTGCCAGCAGCATGGCTCATCCTTACATTACTTGTGTTGCTCATCTACCTGCTGACAAGGTGCTGTGACCGCAAGCCCCGTCCCAAACACAGCATTGTAGTTCTCAAATGGACCCTTGCCATTTTCACTCTTCTGTGCTGGTGGGTATATATTTGAACTCTTGTAATAGTTCCAAAGACAGTGTGAATTTAGAAGCATAATAGTGCATCAAAATGGGCTGTGAAACACACACATGTATCTGTTGTTAATTTTATGGTTGTGAAGGATCAGACCTTATAGTTCAAGAATGAAATGTTTAGACTGATCTGAGGAAGGAAGGAAGTTTCTTAATTTTTTTTTTACAGAGTTTCATGTTCATATCTATTCATTACCAGAGCTTTGCTTATGGATGCCTATATAGTGAAATGCTACATTTGGAGCATAGCTCTGTATGGGGCTGAAACATGGACACTTAGGGCAGTAGATGAGAAACATCTGGAAAGTTTCGAAATGTGGTGTTGGAGAAGGATGGAGGAGATCAGTTGGACCGATTATGTGAGAAATGAAGAAGTGTTAATTAGAGTCAGTGAGCAGAGGAATATCCTACATGAAATAAGAAAACGGAAGGCTAATTGGATTGGTCATGTTTTACGCAGAAACTGCCTTCTAAAAGAAGCTATCGAAGGAAAGATAGATGGGCGGATAGAAGTGACAAGAAGACGTAAGAAGATGCTGGATGACCTTGGGGACAGAAGAGGATACTGTCATTTGAAGGAGAAAACTTGAGATTGCATTAAGTAGAGGAATCGTTTTGGAAGACTGTGGACCTGTCGTCTTGACAGATTACTGATGATGATGATGATGATGATGATGATGATGATGATGAATACTAATTGAACAGTTCCTGTGAATTAGATTCTGAATAACATGCCAGTGAAAAAGTTGTCCTTGCAGTTAACGGTTAAGCACTATGGATTGAAGACATATGAGGGAGTGGATGTATAGATCCACGTATTCTTGACCTCAGCACTAGTTGGAGTTAAGTGGTCAGCTTCAGGTCCCAACTTCTCTTACATTCGATAAAAGAGCCCCTGGTACCCATTGGGTAGGATGTTTGGTGGACCCCAGAACCAGTCTGGATGACATGTAGAGGAGAAAAATGTTATCCTGACCGGGACTCAGACTCTCACCCCTGTACCAACGAGCCTCTAGGCAGTCACTATACTGACAGTGATTTCCCAGCTGGAGTAACATGAACATGCCATTGGTAGTTTTAATTTCCCTGGGTACAAATGAAGATTACAGAATGTGCATGGGGAAAAGTGTAAAATATATAGTGTTGATATAATAGTGAAATTTGTAAAGTGTCTGTCAGTATTTATTTTGTGTCTTATGGCCATATTACAAACTGTAATGGTTCGTTAAGTTTTACTAAAACGTATCTCTGGCATTTACAGGTTGATGAGATAGTGATCGTTATGGTGCTCTGTTGCCAGCTGAAGTGTTTTTGACAAAGTCTATTTTATAGGCAACTTGTGCTGAAAACGTTTCCTCTAGATAGCAGTACTGCTTAATGTATATTGTTATTCTGTCAAGTTCAGTATCTTAGCAAAAATGTCACTGTCTTTCAAGTTGTTGAGATTAGGCTGTATGCTAATTTATGATACAGGTTCAAATTCTTTTGAAATTGCTGGCCAGTTGGCGCTGCTACTTTATACTTGTGGTTTAAAGCATTGTGTCCTCTTATTGCTAAATGTACTAGTTTGTTCTGTGCAAATAAGTGCAGGAATAACTTTGGTGATGAAGGAAAGGATTTAAAATATTGTACATTGTAACAGAACATAATGTTTCAGCTTCTGTGTTTTGCTGACAAAGATTGACTATTGCTGGTGATTACTGTGTAATTTTCACTCAGAGGTGCTGTCATTGCCAACTGAAGTTACATGCAGGACTACGTTTCCTGTATTTTGAACCAGATGAGATCATGCAAGATTTGTGGTGGACAAAGTATCAGTGGGGCAGGCTTTCTCCTGTTTCTCTTGAATGCTTCAGTTTCTAATTCCACCAGCTTTTTCCATATTTGTTAATCAAGCCATCATCAGGGCTATAGAAGCTTGAAACTGACAGGGTCATTAAATAACAAACATACATACTAACTGTATTTTGAAAGTAGTAGTTGGAATCTTTGTTTCAAAATGTAGTTTATTTCATGTGCAGATCAGTTAAGTTCAGATACCCACAATGTGGCCTAATGGGAATTCTCTGAATAAAATGAATTAATGGGCTTTATTGATTGATGATAAATTAAACTTTATTAGATACCTCATATAGATGAAAAGGAACTAGTTTTCTCTAGTTACAAGAATCTTAATAATCCACCATTTGAAGTGATTTCATATTTTCAGGCATGTACAACACCCCCCCTCCAAAAAAAAAAAAAAGAACAAGGAGACTGCACCACATTACTTACCACAGTTTAGGCTGTAATTTGAAGATGGGAGATTTTTCAGATCTGCAGTAGCAGCAGTGGCTGAGTACATGATCTTGCCACTGTGTAGAAGGAGATATACAAATGAGATCATTATTGTCAGCTTCATTTCACATACAGAACATAATTTAATACATTATACTTAATTAAAGCGCTAAGTGTGAGTTTAAGAATGATGTGTAATATGAGAAGGGAATGGTTTCTATGGCACAGTTTATTTTAAGAAAATGTGATTGAAGGGCAAGGTACAGTAGGTAAGAATATGAATGTTGTTTCAGTGCGGCTATTGGTGTTGGGCTCTATGGAAATGATGATGTACACAATGGTCTTGTTCAGTTTGTGTTGGCAACACAGAGCATGGATGACATCATCACTGCAGTGAAAAATCAGGTGAGAAGTTGTCATGGCTTGTCCTATGCTTAGGTTCTTGTATTGTGAAGAAAATTGGGATTTTATGTGAGAAGGAGCTATGAACTGGAATGAAACAAAAGTTTGCTTCTTCTAGATGCCACACAATTACATAACTTCATATAATGTGTGTGCCTTTCATCCACAAGTGAGTAGCATTTTGGTACCTTTGTTTGAATATAAGGGCTCATTCAGAACTCTTTCAATCCATCTGATCCATAATTTTGAATGTAGTTTTTTTTTTTGCATATCTTTCAGTCCAATATGATAAAACAACCACTTCTGCCATCTAGAATCACTTGCAAGAACTTAAAACAAGAACAGCCTAAATGAATGAATAAAGGTAAAGTTGTCTCTGTGCTTAACTAATTAAGCACTACTCCAAGAAGACATGTGGGGAGTGGAAGTATAGATTCATGTATTCTTGACCTCGGCACTAGTTGGAGGTGAGTGGTCAGCTTCATGCCATGGCCGCTTTACCCCTGGGAAAGGGTCGCCAGTACTGATTGTACAGAAATGTGGGTGTATATATTGAATGCAGTGTGTAGAAGTGGGAACATGCTTGTGGAATCTTGGAAATGACAAACACAGAAAAATCTCAAGTAAAGAGTTAAATTGTGGAGCAGAAATGATATGTTACTATAATTTTAAATCTTATGGTTAAATAATATATACATATTCTTCACTTGGAATATTGTGACATAAATAATACATGCATTTTCAATTAATGTTGCCTGTTTTTACTTTGTGCAATTCTAGTTTTAATCCTGACTGATCCCTGACAGTTCATTTATAAAAAGGACAATGTGAAGGAAGTAAAAGCATTTGTGGAGAAATGTTATATAGTACAGTCTGTCAATGTGTGATTGAACAGAACTGGTTACCAAATTTTGTGTTGGTACAGGTATCATCAGAGCTAGATGGCATACTCCATCTTACTTCTGGTAGTATTCTTTTTTTTATTGCTAGTGGGGTGGGTCTAAGTCCCTTGTACTGCAGCCACTTCTGGCCTATTGTACCAGCCCCAGATGATAGGTGAGGGTGATGGTGGAGCAGTTGGTGGAATGAAGATTGGCAAGGGAAACCGAAGTACTCTGAGAAAACCTGTCCCAAAGCCACTTTGTTCACCACAAATCCCACTTGACCAATCCCGGGCTGCCATGGAGGGAAGCCAGCAACTAACTCTTTGAGCTATGGCGTGGCCTACTTCTGATAGCAACTGGCACTTAAAACTTTTTTTTTCANAAAACATAATTTATAATTGCACATCCACTTTCTGTACTTGCAAACCCAAATTTTTATCAGCAGTTCCATCGAGCTTAATGCTACTCTACTCCAGTCCAAACCAGAATGACACCCAAATTCATTATAAACATACAAGTAAAAACTGACTTAAAACTTTTTTTTTCAGCTTCTCTAAGCCGCTCTTTGCATGGCATTCTAAGAGAGACCATGATGATATAATCATCTCACATGTCAGGATAATATTGAAATAAATATTAAAGAAATAGAACGTGAGAAGGTAGATTGGAATTACCTGGCACCGGATCGGGACCAGTGGCAGGTTTGAATGGACCTTCGGGTTTTGTAAAGGGTGAGAAATTTGACTAGCTGAGTAACTATTAGCTTCTGAGGAAAGACTTTGTTCCATGGAATGAGGAGGTTATTAATCTTCTTGTCCTTTTTCTGTACCTATATCCTTAGTACTTTCTTGTTGTTGAATAACCAAAAGAAACTGATATTTGGACAGAAGGTAAGATAGCTGTGGATCTACTGGCTGTTCTATTTGCTTCCCTTCCACCCATGACCACTACCAACATTGTCCCAGTGAAGGACAGTAACACAATCAAGGACAAGAGAGACAACTGTAATAAGATATGTTGGGTATGCAGTAAAGAGGAGAGGAAGAAATATCCTTAACAGACATGCTCGTGTGGTTAGAAATGTAAATATATTATGTTGTATGTAAGTTTTGAGGTTTTCACGGCGATGACAATGAAGAAATTTGTCTTCTGGGTTTAGGCACCGTGTATTCTTCGTTTTGGCCTACGTTTCGGAGGAACATAGCGCCTCCATCTTCAGAGCAGTTGAATAGCTGCGGAGAGAAAACAACTTTCTTCATATTATGTTGTAGTTTATACTTATTCAGCAACTAAGACAACAGGGCTGTGGTCAAGGAAGAAATTCATGTGAAATGCAATGAGTAATATGTAGTAAATAAAATGTTTAGGCAGAACCAGGGAAGAATGATCAGTTAATTCAGCCCAGAAAACACTCCAGATTTGAGCACAACAGATTCTTGGGTTATCAGCCATGTCAATTGGTTAACAATTTCTGATGTTCCAGGAGCCATCTCTGTCCCTGTCATCAACCCTCATGATGGGGGCAGAGGTAGTCCCTGAAATGTTGGTAATTTTTAACCAACTGACATGGCTGGCAATCTGAGAAGATTTTATAAACTTTAGCTACTGTGAGAGCTTTCTATCTTACACTACAGAGATATCCAGAGTAGACTAAGGAGACATTAGCGAAACATAATTTATAATTGCACATCCACTTTCTCTACTTAACAAACCCAAATTTTTATCAGCAGTTCTATCAAGCTTAATGCTACTCTACTCCAGTCCAAACCAGAATGACACCCTAATTCATTATAAACATACAAGTAAAAACTGACTTAAAACTTTTTTGTTGGGGAAGTGAGGGTAAGCAGCAGGCTGAATGGAACCCTCATGTGCCAGTAGGCCCAATAAAAATCTAAACACTGAGCCTTTGCATGCCTCAGAACAAAACTAGTCTTTGTGATATATTGACATGAAGCATGTATATCTGTCCACTACTCTTGACCAACTTGCATAGTGCTTTGTGTGATACATACATACATACATATACATTTGGGTTTCTTTAAAATATTCATAAATGTGCCACCGGCACTGAATATAAAACATGTCAACAAGCAGACAAAACATTGGACACTTATACATTCACAAATAAAATCAATAGCATATATAATCCATACTTGTCAAAAACACATACAATAGTTAAAAGGCAATACAAATTGCAGCAAGTATATATAAGCACAGCCAAGGACATAGTGTTTAGTGAAGTGTGCACTGTCAGACACATCTTTTCCTTAGCTGTAGGTCTTGACAGAAAAGCAAGAATTCCTCAACAGTATAAGAAGGGTTTTGAAGCAATACATCCTTTAGTTTCCCAATAAACTGTTTTTTATTATGTACTAACTCAATTAAAAAATCAGGCAAACTATTAAAAAGTTTTACACTCATACAGTAGACCCCTTTTTGCCTCTTTGTTAGATCATTATGTATACATTATTATTTCTTTTAAGATCAGCAATCCAGTCTTGGGGTCTATGCGAACTTCTGAGAAGTGAGCAGCCGTTTCATGTAGTCTTGCTATAACATGTGACTTAGCTTATTTACAGACTTAGAAGCCACTGGAACCTTAATTTGAGTTGTACATATTGCAGACTGGAACCATTGAGGCAACACTCACACAGAAGGTGGATCCTCTGCTAACGGAACTGGGAGATGTATTTGGGGATCCAGTAGCTAACCAGACAGCCCGGAAAATGGTATTTGCCGCTTTGAGCAACGTAACAGGAAACACAAGAATTGCTTTACTCAGTGTTCAGGACATCAGCGGGCAGCTCAAAGGTGTCAGTCTGCGTGACATTGTTTCTATTGTACAGACTGCGGAGGGTATCAGGTGTGCATTCCTGGCTCCTTAACTCATTTTTTTATGAGGTATGATATGATACAGGACTATCAGTCTCGAAATAGATTTTGGGCCTGAGTATCAGACTGCACTATCAGAGTCAGAGGAAAATAATGGTCAAAAATAATTTCATAAATAAAGAGAAAATTTTGTTGAATTTTATATTCTCGTGGCACTGACTGTGAAGACTACCTTAATCTTGGATGTAGTGCTGTCAGTTTGGTACAAATTACTGAAATTGTGGAGTAAGATAGTACCTCCATCTTGAGGGTTGAAGAGTAACCCAAACACAAAGCAGATGGCAAGCAAACGCTTTGCTTGCTGCTTGCTTCTTACTGGTTGCCTGGAGATGGAGGCAGGTTTCCATCTGAAATGTTGGTGAACTTCTGCTGGACTAATAGATTCTAAAGGCTTGTAACTATGGTGTATAATACTCAGAATTACTGGGGTTTTGGACTTTGGTCTGGTATTGCAGAAACTAGAAAACAAAACATTTTGGGTACTGGATCTGTTTCCGTTCTCAGGTGCAGGAAAGGGGAGACACCTACTTTATTGGGTCCCTTAGAAAGAGCTAACCTCCAGTGATTGAGGTTGGCTATTTCTATGCTAAACAACAAATTCTATCAAAAATATTATTTGAAGAAATTACTATTTGTTAAGAAATTTATATCACATATGCATGCAATGGTGATGCAGCAGGAGGTGTCACTGGTTGTTGGTTAACCTAGATGCACATATTAATGCATTACTGATGCAGAGAGATGGTAATGTGGACATTATTCCCCTCTTTTTTTAAATTCTGCAGGGTATAACCTTTAAAGTAAAAAAGTAAATGTAACCCTTACTTTTTTTAAAAAAGTGTTCTTATTACAACTGTAGACAAAAAAATGTCCATAAGATTGCATATCCACCTGTTACATGGGAATAAAAAAAAATATGTTTTGCAGTATGTTATTTCACAAGACACATTTTGAAGTTCACATCCTTTGCATATTATGAGAACTGTATTATTACAGACTTGTGATCATGAGTGACAGTGGTTGAGAGTGAGGAAATAACTTTATATGATCATAAATTTAGTAGAACTGACCTATTCTGGAGTTAATTCATAATTTATTTACACACATAAACTGTTACACACAAGTTTAATTGGACAAGTCAGTGTAAGCCATCTAAAACATTACAAGTCAACAACTCTTGAAAATGTACAAAGCGATACACAAGACTACAAACAGTACAATGACCTTAGGATCATTGTCCCCCTGCTGAAGCCAGCAACTTAGGATGACATCTCCCAACAATCCCATATAAAGCAAAGCATACACTTATACCATCTATATACAACCACACCACATCAGAACCAACCCGAGAAACCAAACTACCGACCATCATTGTTATTAAAAAATTCTTGTAGAGAATAAAATCAGTTTTGTAATAAATAAGTTTTTAATTTATTTTTAAATTTTTTTATTGTTTTTAATTCAGGGGGCAAGATGTCATGTATTTTTAATTCCCATGTTAATTACACTTATTTTGCAACAAACAGTGTTGCATGTTTTTACATACAAATCCTGTAATGGACATATACATATGTTGAACTATGCATTGTGATTGATCAGCTGATTCTAGACAGTAAACATTGAGAATAAATATGCCCTAGATCTTTTTTTGTTGTTGCTGCTCATGTTTGTAATGCCCATGTTAATTTGTTTCATTATGCATTTTTAGTTCTTCAGTTAATCTTTGTTTACTCCATTATCTTTTAAGACTGATAAATGTAAAAATGCAATTAATGACATGCAGATCTTATGTTTTGCCAGGTGGCCTGTGACAATGGCTGTACTGAGCATCTTACTTATGTTTTGTGTGGTGTTACTATTTGGGGTGGCACGCCATTCGCGGTGTGCTCTTATCACGTAAGTACTTCCAACTTTTATATTTTCCCACATTAAAAACAAACAAACTCCGTGATTTTTGTCCGCAAGTGAACTATACCGACTGATTATATTTGTCATATTCATTAAACTTGGATTTGTGTCTGGCATTGCTAGTTATCTTGATAACATGCTCCATTATCTGTTTTCTCTCAGAAAAGATTGCAGCTGATGTTAAATGAAGGAAAATCAGTTCAGATATACTGTTCTTATAACCTTGGCTATACCGTATTGAGAGACAAGATACTGAAGATGGTCAAAGGATAGTAAATATATATGGTCAATTAATGTACATTTAATGCGGCCTCCATAGTCTAGGGGTAATGTTCCCACCTCATGACTCAAGGTACGCGGGTTCAAACCCGGCGGAGGTCATGGAAATTTTTATGGGCAGAAAAATTCAGGGAACAAGGCCTCCGGGAGGGACTTTAAGCCGTGTGTCCCGTGTCGTAGATTTACGGCACATAAAAGAACCTAATGTCTCTAGGAGACCTCTGAGCTAAATTACAGGCCCTTTCCCGCTCAAGTAGTCTCCAATGCCTCTGGTGGATGGGGGAAGCATCAAGGTACCGAGGGCCGACCTCGTTGGCTCTATGGGGGCTGATGGCACGCACTGTTACCGGTAGGATATGGTGACAGTAGAAATTAAAGGGGGATGCACAATGGACCAATAACTGGTCTAAGTGCATGGGGAAACCAACCCCCTCTCATAATACAAATAGGAATGTACATTTAAACATTTTTATAAAGTAACATACCGTCGTTCTTATGCTTAAACACCACTCTGTGAAGATGTATGAGGGACAAAGGTTAAGCTCCACACGTTCTTTATTTTAACACTGGAGTGAGTCATCAGCTTCATGCTGTGCATGGTTTACCACTGATGTTTACTGCATGGAAGGGTGGAAGGACTCAATAAGTGGTGTGAACATGGGTTGATATGGTAGTGTAGTATAATCCTCAATTTTGTGATTAATCCACAAGTCAAATAGCCAAATGTCTGTGTGTGTGTATCTACCCTGTTTTCCAAAGTGCTGTGCTGTTGAATAGAATGGCAAACACAAAAACATTCTTCTTGGAGACAGAACTGTAGGAAAATTGTTAGTTAGGTTACATAATGTTGTATAATATTAGAATGCATATGATGAACTTCCAAACTCAGTGGAACAACCAAGACGAACACAGCAGAAAGGAGCATATCAGTAGGTAGAGAATCTTTTCAAGTTTGTTTGGATAATAGGCGCCATGGTGTACTTGCAGGTTTCACTGCTAGGGGGCAGTCATGATGAAACATGTTGAGGACAGGGGATAAGAAAGCATTCTGTGTCTTGGAATTTACCAAAACTGAGTCAATTATGATGGTGCAATAGAGATTTCAGACAAAGTACCACACAGAACCACCTACAAACAAAACAATTTGTGAGTGGTACAGAAAATTCCAGCAGAGTGGCTGCCTGCATACTGAAAAACGTACAGCCTTGGCCAGGGCCATCAGCTGAAACTGTCGAGTGTGTGCACGAAACTTTTGTCAGGAGCCCTCAGAAGTCAACACTTGACTAAGGCATCTGCAATTCGCAACTTGTGCAATGTGTTTCTTCTGGGGGCTCCTGACAGAAGTTTCGTGCACATTCAGCAGCCTCGGCCAGTGGCCCCGGCAGGCCTGTTCATTTTGCAGCGCACAGGCAACTACTCTGCTGGAATTTCTTGTACCACTCACAATTGTTTTGTCCGTAAATGGTTCTGTGTTCGTACGTGGTCCAAAACCTCCATTGCACTGTTACAGTTGACTTAGTTTTGGCAAATTCCAAGATGCAGCATGCTTTCTTAGCCCCTGTTGTCACCATGTTTCATCACTACTGCCCCCTAATGGTGAAACCTGCAACTATGCCATTGCACCTATTACCCAAACAAACTTGGAGAGATTGTCTGCCTATTGATATCTCCTTTCTGCTGCATCGGTCTTGGTTGTTGTGCTGCCGAGTTCGGAAGTTCCAGGGGGACTTATGAATTATTCCATACATTGTCCCAAACCATAGTATGTGTTTACGAATAAATGAAACATTTTTAATGACTGAACATTCACTGAAATCAATTTATTATTTATTATACTGATGGGGAATGAACTATATAATTAAAATCTGTACCAGTTATATTTATTTATTTTAACATTGAATGGTTTGAAACATAGATCAAGACATCCACAAACATTACTGCTGCTGTATGAATCCAATACTTTGTTAGAAACAATGATTATTATCCTAATATTGAAATAGCTTGGGATAAAGTAGTGTTGTTAATGTTTCCTTTCAGATTCTCAGTGTTTGGGTTGTTTGCTGTCATCATCTCATGGCTTCTATCATCTCTGTATCTTGCCACAGCTGTGGTGAGTACACCATTCAGAATCATTTCATGTCATGATACCAGTGCTCTATACGTACTATCCATAATCTCTCTTTAGCATTTTTTTGCTGTTTCAACAAGATCATACATAAGTAACAAGATGTTAATATAACATTATTAGTGAGAAGCATGTGGTTTTAAAACAGAAACAATTTAATAGCAATGCTGGTATTTCTAACATCACCAAGAACAAAATATTTAGTGAAAATGTAGTTGTGTAGTCATCGAGTCTCACATCTTAAGTATTTATTTTATACAAATTTTCAGGCTTTGGGTGATCTGTGCATGAGTCCTGATGGATTCCTGGAGCGAGAAGCTGCCACAACACCGAAGGCAGACATTTTGAACTATTACATACGATGCGATCAGTCACGGACCAACCCATTCTTCCAGCGTCTGCGTCAAGGCCAGAATGCTGTGAAGGAAATGAGCTCAAATCTTGTGACAGTTGCTCGCATTGCAAAAGAGCTGTATAAGCCTGCCGACCTGCATCCTAAACTGGATGTTCTTACAACAGACATCAACCAAGTTGACAAATTAGCTACTGGTCTCTCCACACTGCTGGACTGCAAGAATTTGCACCGCCAGTATCTCAATGCCACACGCAGTGTTTGTGACCTTGGCCTGTAAGACTTCATAATTTATGCAACCAGTAAAGCAGCTCTGTAGTTGCCACTTTAAATTTCAGTTTAAGTAATACTGTAATATCACTGATGTCACCTCAACTTTAAGTGTGACATTTATCAGGATCCCTTGCTTGGATTCCTCTCGCTGATGCTTACATCTGCATTGATTTGTGTGATAAGTACTAGTCCTCCTGAGTCATGTACTGTATGTTCTGCACATGAGATTTTCCTTAGTGTGTAATATAAGGTATCTTATAGACTAAAACACAGAAAACTAGGTGTTATTATTTCTTCTCAGAACTATTCTGAATTCTTTTATAACATTTCAGTTATATGGAATACATTACTATACAGTGCCATAGAACTAAAACTGAAAATTTTGATACATGTATGGTATACTTCTGTCTCTGTTCTCATTATATAAAAATAATTAACTCTGTTTAATTTGACTTATAAAGAAGATACATTGGATGGTATCCAAGTTGTATGTAGTTTCTTATGTTAACTCCTTGTTGGCAGTTACGGGCTCTCCTTTATGCTGGCAGCAAGTGTAGCAGCTGGCTTTTTCTTCACTGTGCTGGTGTGGGTTGATTCCCACACGTGGATCTACATAAGGCGGAGGTGAGGGGCTGAAACACACATGCTTCTCTTTTGTATTGAGACACAGTAGAGTTTTTTTGTGCTGTTGAGTAAATTCTGACAGACAAGATATTGAAACGGTATTGTGATGTGTGTGCAAGAGAGAAAAACAAAGATTTTTCTATGGAATTTTATCATTCTACAAAATAAGTATTGTCACATGGTAGAGTGACTATAGATGGGGTTTGATTGGTAATTGGATTTATTGAACTCTTAAACAACTTGTGACTACATTTTACAAATCACTATCACAAACAGACTAGTGTTCACAATCATGATTTTCACTATGCTGCTTGGTAGCAGCTTCCAACCGTGTAGCATCTTTGGTTTCCATGTCGGGTTGCTCCTGTCCTCACTGGCAGGCACCTCTCAGCTGCAGCTCCCCAGCTGAATTAACTGGCATCCAGACCAAGCTAACTGACAATGTGCTATTGATCCCCTACTTAGTCTTGGCACAGATAGTATAGAAAACACCTTTCCCAACAGATCTTCTATTCTTGCATCATGCAGTTACTGGTACAGACAATGTAGAAAACACTGCTTCCCAGTTACTTCATTATTGTTTGTTACAAAGATGTTGCCTAGCAATGGGCATGTTTCCAGAGCCATTCCCTAGCAATAGCTGTTTCTGCTGGCTTCACAGTTCTGGCTTTCAGCAGGCATGCCACAGTATCGTTAAATTAAGGAGCCAAATTATATAGCATATTATTAATAGTAGGTCTTTTGTATGTTTGGCTTCCATTTTAAAATTGAATGATCTGACAAATTTGAATTTTTCAAAGTTTAATTGTCATACAACATTTTAGGATCCAATGAAGCTAATCTTGTTTCATTTACTTGCATCATGGCTGTCATAGTTTGAGTAGATATGGCCATGCTGAAAGTCAGCCTGAAGTAATCCCTTAGCAATCGAATAGATATGAACTTCATGTTGAACCCAGTTCAGCTATTCAGAAATTTTCTTTGATTGTTGAATATTTAATATACAGTAGAACTTGGTTATAACATCATCAAAGGTACCTAAAAATAGTGTCATTATAAACGTATGTCGTCGTAACCGAAATGGGCACTTCCACAGTAGCCTTATGTTAGTCACGTAAAAATCTACCAAAAACCGAGTTAAAGTGAAATACGTAGTTAAGTACAGACTAACATAACATTAACGTGGAATTGCCCAAATGTGTAATATCAAAGACATATTACAGCGCTTTTCACTGACAATACACACCGCACTAATACTGTATATTAAAGGTAGGCCCGCTCACCAAATTACAGTAGATTACATCAATTGTTGTGCCTTACTGTACCTAGATACGAGTACAGTAATCAGTTATCTTCATCTGTTTCCTGTTACTTGCCCAATACACATTTTCTAAATTACGTTCAATGTCCATATCAGAGAAATTCAGGAATGAAAATGACGTTACATACGAGGTTGATGCATTTGTGCATGTCGTACTAAGCAAGGTATAAAAACAGTTGCTTTATGAGGAATTAGTTCGTACCATTGAATATTTGACGCAATAGACAAGGTGTCGCAGAAACCGATGTTGCTATAACCAAGTTTTACTGTATTTGCATATGAAATGGACTGTAAGAAAAGGAACGAAAAAGCAATGCACAGATTCCTTGCACATACTTTATACACTGATTTTCCAAAAGATATGCCTATGCAGTTTTATTTATGGAGATTTTCTCCATAAATTACTAGAATTCAATAAAAGTAGTTTGAGCTGTTTTCAGGAAAATCACAGACTTGTTTCTAGGGTTCATTTGAAGTAGCTACAATGACCCACAGTGGATAAACTCATAAATACAGAACGTGAATAAAATTCATCAGCCATTTATGCACTAAGCCACTCGTATGTACATACAGATGGCATTCCAAAAACCATTTTTTTTTTTTCATATTGAGGGGTGTTGAAAACATGTAAATCTGTCAGAATCTCAAGATTGATTTTTTCATGATAAAAATACCTTCTCTTATATGCTACATATATGAAAAAGTAAATCTATGTAGGTACTGCATTGCAGGAATATGGATGGATGAAGTCAGTGCATGTAATTACAGCTAGTAGGTCATCATAATATCCTCTGGTGGACATCATTAATCACTATGGCAATTGTCATCTTCCAGCTTTATTATTATATTATTTTGCCAAGAGAACTTGTAATGGTAGTAATTATTGTCTTTTTAGGCATAGCAAACATAATCCAAAGTATCACTGATGTCCTGCATGTGGGTTAGATGAATTACTGTATTATGATCATTCTTTGTCTGCATATCAGTTACAGGAAAGTATAAACTTACCTTGAACAGTAATAAATGTATTCAACAGTTAATTGCATTACAGTCTGTGATAAAAAGGAAAGGACAGATGCATTAAAGTGTACATACATAGTTCTACATAAGTACATGTTGATTTTTAAGAATTCCATGTAATTAAATATGAAGTTGTGTTGGGTTTAATTTTTTTTACAGTTTTAAGATCATAAAATTATTCAGTTTGATGATAAGTTTTGCCAGTGGAAATTTAGAATCCAGTACATTTGCTTCCTAATTATTTGTGATAAATTTCTGACTCCTTGTTTTGTAAGCTTTTTCAGTAGAGGTAGACTCGTGTGGTGAAAGTAGAATATTAATTTTGAGTTGAGCTTTGTTGTTTGTATATCAGAAGTTAAGTGTATTTTTATTACTGTGGTACACAGCAGTTCAATTGTGCACTGCTGCTTCATGTGTTGTGAACTGAGAACAAAGAGATGATCCTATTGTATTTCATCATGGGACTTTTTTTTTTAAGTGATGAAATGCTTTGATCCATCTCTGGTTCAGTTATGTAGCCCTTATAAAAGTTTTTCATGAGTGGAGTGTATCCTTTCCAGACCTCTCAAACATTAATCCATGTCCATAGTAAAGATGACAGGGTAATTACAGCTTCAGAAGAAAAATGGAACAATGAATATCTTGAAATACGATGACTGACCTTGTAGAAAACTTTTGTAATGAGAAAGGACTTACCCTTAAGAATGTATGATTTCTCACAAAATATTATTATGCTGATAACATTGAGGAGGATAATGTGAGCAGGATATGTAGCATATATGGGGGACATGAATAATACATATGACATATGAAAACCCAATTGAAAAGACCACTTGAGAGAGTATAGGTTTTTCCATTTCAGTGAAGAAGCACAAAGTGTGTAAGGAACTAATTATGCCACACACTTACAAGTGTTACCCAGATTATGAATAATTTTGCAGTTGTGCTATTTGGAAAAGGTTCATTCCAGGTGGAACATGTGACATGTACAGTTCTTGGAGAAATTTCTGTGAAGGACCTGATAAAAAGAATACAGTTCACCTTACATTATGGGATGATGTGTTATCATTTGTTTGAAGATAACTTAATTGAGAAACTATAAATAGTCTACTACAGTTTAATCTAGCAGCATCTAAAATTTCAGAGATAGGTTGTTTTAGTGCTATAATAACATCTTCTTTTCTTCTGGCCCACAAGAATTGTGTTTTGAAGATCGCGAAAATGATGCATGTCATTATATTTTATCATAGTATTCTTAAGAAATTAAATGCTTCAATCTATCGATATTACCTTGGCCACAGCCCCACGTCGCATGACTCTTTAAGTTTTCTGTGTACAGCAAGATACTTTCTCTCAGAATTCATATACAATCACTACTGAACTTCAGAGAATTCCTAAATATCACTTCTTGCTCTAAATTAGTGTGAAATCTGAGTGTGTTTGCATCAGTGACAAATGTTGTAAATGATAGTAGGTTCCAGAATAGATCTGTTTTCACAGATTAATCATACAGCCCTTAAATATACATCCAAATAACAAGTTCCATTCCCCATTGAAATGGATAAAATTGAGTAAGACAATCTACTCCAGTTGGTATCTCCTGCCAGACACTGACACCTGTTGGTGTGTGTGTGTTGCAGGCGTGACTACCTGCAGGTGGACGAGCAGGATCCGTTTCTGCCTCCATCGGCCGCATCACAGGCCATCGCCGCGCGGACACTGCGCAGCCAAGGGTCGTATGGCAGCACAGGCTACTTCCGGCATCATCACCACTCCCCTCACCACCACCACCACACCCCTCCACCCACGCCGCCCTACCCTGGAACGCTGTACGTCGCATGGTTAAGTTGGGCGCATTTTGTTTGTAAATGTAGTTGTAGCATATGCATGCATACTCAGTTGCCCCTGCCGCCAGGGCTTGTCAGCCTCCTGAGAACATACATTTGCAAATTTGTTAATATAAAGTTCATTTTCAAATAGTATTTGTTGGGTGTAGAGCATGTTTTCAAGACTTCCTAGAAGCAAGAAGGAGATAGGTACACATACTTAATGCTGGGCTTTACTGCCATGCAGCAGTTAAAAGAGACCTGCCTTCTTGTAATTCTAGTGGTATTAGGAAGGACTGGACAGGCAGAAATATCCGTGGAATTCAAGAAGGCCAAAAGTAGTTCCTTGGCAAAGATACAGCACATAATATTTTAAGCAGTTTCTTTTATCAAATAAGCAGGCAAATTTAGACTGCTCTTATGTTGTACTTTGTCCATTTTCAAAGGTATCTTTGCACATAAAGAAGAGTGTGTGTCTGTTTATTTGTTCCTATATTATCACACTGTTGCACTTATTTCAGCCAAATTTGGCATGATAGAGGCCCCCCCCTAGGGGTGGTCATAGGCACCTCATAATTTGCAGGGATTCGAGTCCAAGGCACCTTATTTCCAGATTATTTCCCCTGTGGAAAAGGCATTTGGATTGTGACAAGAATGGGATCATTTTCAAATATATGATAAAGAAGGTCCAAAATTGAAGCAATCTTCTGCTGTTACTAGAATGCGAGGGAAACCGCAAAATGCCTTCTGCCATTGCTAGACTTATACTTTCTGTTCTTGCACATAAGCCTTACACCTGGTCAGTGGCAGGCAGATTTACAGATATTAAATAAATGCATTTCAGAAGCTGGCTTTTCTCATACATACAAGCTGTGCATTGTCATTATACTGATACATTTTTATTGGTTTTATAGTTTCAGTATTAATGGCAGCAGTCAGGGCCAATAGTGAGCAATCTTGATGAGTGTAATAGGGAAATCTCCAAATGTGGTACAGCATTAAGAAAATATTTACCTTGAGTTCAGGAATGTATGAGGTTCACTGGCTCAAAATCATCACTGAGAAAAATTCTGGATGATTTAGGGCTCCAACACATGTATTAAATGAGATATAAATAGCTGAGGGAAGCAAGGACTCCTATCTTTTACCCAGGTGAATGATAGTACTGATGACTCCTTTGTCATGATACTTAGGTCCTTATCGGTAGAAAAGGTTGGTTAATTGTAGCTCACAACAGAAACAAGTACATATTTATATGAAATGGCTTTCTGATGTTTCAATCAAAATGAGAAAATGTTTGTCATGATGAAATGGATGATGACAGTTTCAGAAAAAATTTTTTGTGAGCAGATCCTTCTGAATAGTTCAGAAGAGGCTGTTGTTATGGATAACATACCCTGTTACTGAGTCCAAAGAAATAAGCGCCCTACATTGGTATCCACAAGATGTGAGAAGGATATGTAACTTCTATACAACATCACTTTTTGGGATATTCTTTTAAAAGCATAACTTTACAGAACAGTAAAATAACAGCACCTAAGTACCACTTGCATGTAATTGATGAAGCTGCTTGGGAAGAAGGATTTAATGTCTCTGAGCTGCCACAATATAGTTCCTCACCTGAATACTGGCATGTGTTATGTCCATCAATGCCAGTTTTTGTGAAAATGAGTTTGATGTTAATTTGAACTACAGTTTAAGTATAACTGGGAACACTACACATCCTGAAATCTCACATTAGCAAGTACAGTATGCGCCAAAGAATGCAGTACTGCAACTCGCACATCTCGAACGCGCATGTGCGTTTGTCGACGGGGCATAGCTCCAGCTGCACGTGTTCCCAGTAGTGAGAAGGAAGTTGTGTTGTGCAGTTGTTGTTGGAAATGGGTCTCTCATCGAAGGAAAAAGTATTCATAGTTGAGCATTATTTCTGCTCATACAGAAGTGGTCGCCAGACAACTCACTTCCTTGGTTTTGAGTGGTCAGATGTTATCGTCTACAAACCGCTACCTAGTACACGTGTGACGATATGGTGTGCCATCGTAGCACACAGTATATTAGGCCCCTATTTCATTGAGGATGAGGAAGGCAATGCTCTTACCATCACCCAAGAATGCTACAGGGACATGGTGATTGGACCATTTCTTCAGGATTTGAGAAGGTTCTGTCATGCAAGGGACCTTCACATGAAGAGACAGTGGTACCAACATGACGTGTTTTCATTTCAGTGCTGTATATTTTGGAGCATACTGTTAAATAAACCTTATAGAAGAAGTGCATGGAGATAGTGCAGCATAATATGGAGAAGCAGAAAAGTGCATTATCTTATTTTAACACAAACATGGAGCTGCAATACTCACGTATGGAATTGATGTGGAGACATTTTAAGTATTCCATTGCAAGAAGGAATGCTACATAGGAACTGAAACATTTTGAGTAGCTGATATCAAAAGAAGCTGCAGGAATCTGTGAGGAGGATTGAAAGGAAACCAAGTCACATATAATAAGATTGGATGGTGAATATTAGCATGCTGAGAGCAAAACTAAAAAGAGTGTTGATCAAATTATGACTGAGATCAGTACAAACAGCAGTGATATAGAAGGCCAGAAGAGCAGTTTTTGTGATAGTAACAGTAACAGTGATATCTGGGCGTAAGTGAATTAGTGTGAAGTGATGTGTGCCATGTTTCTTTGATACTGCAGCACCTATTATTTGTGTAAGTACATAGGAAGTGATTTCAGGTTTGGGAAAAATTTGTTTAATGTATAAGCATTTACATTACATAATCAGGAAGGAAGAAGTGTAATCCATTGATCAGAAATGTATTGTATGTATAGTAGATGTGTCTAGCTGTCGCATAAATGCCGCCTGTTGACGCTTTTCTTCTTAAGCGGTTGTATCAGCCCACATGACATCGCTGTACCTGTTCAATATTGTCATATATAAGAGGTAGCGTGATGACACACACACACACTTCTAAATTAAGAATCTTCCAGAGAATAAGCACGTCCATATAAGCTATGTGATTTCTTGTAAATCACTTCTTCTTGAACAGAGAGTACTTGAAAAATTGATGCAAACAACCTAATAGGTAGTTACTATAGGATTCTGACGATGGTGTATAACACACAGAGATATTGGTGACGTCGGTTGTCCAGTGATTGAGGCTAGCTCTTTCTAAGGGACCCAACAGAATAGGTGTTTTCCCTCAGAGGACAGAAACACATCCAGTTTCTGAAACATCATGTTTTTTCTTAGTTACCTTAAAAAACCAGGATGATGGATAAAGTCTGAAAACCCAAACTGATAGGTATTTATGTTGTGTATTTGGTTTTTGGATAATGATCCTGGCAGTTCTTCTTGCAGATTTGTAGTACACACTCCATTTGTGATTGTATTACACTACTGAAAATGTATCACATTACAGTTTACTTCAGGATAGTTTAAAAAAATCCATTTTGTTATGCAATATCAGAATTAAAATTTGATATAGTGTCTTGAGTCCATGTGAAATTTCTGGACAGGCTGTCTATTGTCTGTTTTGTAACTGAACAGACTAAACACAATTAGATTTTTTGTGAGCCCGAACTCAGAAGAGTTGGATGCTCCCTGTCAAGTTTGACCAACTTCTCAGAAGCACTGCCTAGAAAACTCACCATATATCATAGACCAGGATGATGGCAGAGGCAGTAATTATGTAGAAGTGAAACGCATGTGCTGCATGCCATGTAAGTCACGTATTGTTTTGAGTTCTGAGATTTTAATTTATGCATAATTTTATCACATACAAACACACGTTTTATTTGTAAATTGCAATAGCGCAATCAGCATAAAGAAGCTGGCTATAGGCTGGACAACCACAGTTTGATTCCCAACATGGCCAAAGATATTTCTCTTGGCTGCTTTCTGTACAACACTCTGGGGTCAACCCAGCCACCTGTCCAGTGGCTTCCAGTGGCTGCTTCTATTCGCATATGTGCATTTGTGGTGTGGTGCTTAGGGATAAGGGCAACTCTCCTTTGAAGGGGAACATTGAAATGGATCAAGGCAAAGTACATTATGAGGTTCTGAAGTGGGTGAACCTGGCTCAGGTTTGTGTCCAATTATGGCTCTTGTATTAGCAGTGTTGATCCTTCAGGTTCTACTGCCAGAAAATTAGTTACTATAATTTTAATTTTAGGCACTGCACAGCTATTACAGTCATAAATGTGTTTATGCTTTAATTGTAAAATTATTGTGTTTCAAAACAAAATAACACCCATGACTCTTCTCACTAGCCCCCTTTTGGCTCATGCTGAATTCTGGTTATAGATGAGACAGTTTGGATCCAATGTTGCATCATCGCTGATGCTGGGGACAAAGATGATCCTTGAAATGTCAGTCATTTTTAACCAACTGATTCTGCAGATAAACTGAGAAGACTTTATTAAGATGACATTGAAATATTCAGAACACATGAAAAAACTTTCATGTGAAGAAGTTACTTTTCCTGCCAGACTTCTGTAGCAAGATATTATATGGAGAACATGAGAAAATTAGGAAATTAACATTAGTTATCAACTAGCAGTATGTAGTTAAAGTTTCTTTATTTTTTATTTTTTACTTTTTTTATCTAATCGTTTGTTTAGTCATTTGCTGTTGTTAGTGTCAGTTTTATCCGCATTATTTTACTTTACATACATATCTAATATTAAAATATGATTTTGTTTACATTTAAGATTAATTTGTAGAATTGCCATCTGCTGCTGCATATATGCATTTGTAATAGCCAAACAGTTTGAGTGACTATTATTAAAGCATGTTGCATATGTGTCACCAGTTCATTTACTATTGCCACCACATGTTATGTACTACATAAATAATATACACTGTATACGTATCTTTGTCTGCCTGAATGTTGTAAATTGAGGGCTGATAGTAAACTTCTGATCAAACTTTCTAGTTGTGATCCGCCTACTTTTTAGGAAAATTGTTAATCTGAGGAACCCATTTTTAGCTATCC